ACAGCAGCTACTTGGAAGGCTGAGGCGGAAGGATCGCTGGAGCCCAGCAGGTCGAGGCTGCAGTGGCCGGGAGCGGCCACTGCACTCCAGTCTGGATGACAGAGTGAGACTCCAATTCAAAACAAAAAAATAAATAAATAAATAAAAAATAAATAAATAAATTAAGTGGTCAGGGGAGGCCTCTGGGGGTGTTGGTGCTGGAGGTGAGCCCTGAATGGTATCATAGGAATATGAGGATCTGGAAACCAAAAGCACAAGTTCAGAGTGTGAACAGGCTGTGTGTGTGTTTGAGGAACAGTAGGAAGGCCAGTGTGGTCAGAAAGAACCTGTGCTCTGAGACAGCCCAGGTGGCCTTTGCTTACTTCCAGACCTCTGTGTGGGTTCCCCTGGGTTGCTTGGCACTGGGTCATGTCCGTAATCTCAGCTTGCTCCACCCCAGCTCCTTCCTGCTGAGAAATGACGTGGCTATTTGCACACATTGGGGGTTTCCGGTCCGTGGTTGGCTACTTCCCTTAACAGGGTGGTGTTCACACAGGCTTTTAAACACCCAGCGGGTCCTAAAGAGATCTAGCATCCTGTAAATGTCAGAGACCTGCTGCATCCATCACTGGAAATCATTTCTCTAATTCTCTGTACAATAAGAAAGGGAGGAGGGAGGGGAGGCAGTGAGGAGAGGATGTTGCTCTCTGTAGCTCTGTCTACTCTTTGTCTTATTCCTCTACCCAGGTCCATTCTCAGCCATGCCCGTGGTCACTATCTTCCTCTTGCCCCCGTCCAGCTTCCTTCCCCCTCAAATCCTGGGTCACTGGCTACTCCTTCAGGATCCTGTAGTCTGACCTGGGCCAGCCCACCTGGCAGGCGGGGAGGCTCGGTAGCGTCCCATTTCTCCTTCCTGTCAGGTCAGCGTTAATCGTGAGGCGGAATTATTGTCCAGCTCAGCTGGTCTCAGAGGTCTGGCTGCCTGGAAGTCTTGGCCTCCTGTGAGTTGTGTGGGTGATATTGATAACAGTAATTCCATGTTTGAGGAGAGCTTGGCTGTATGCCAAGTGCTTTCCATCCGTTATTCCCACAGATCTTCACAACAACCCAGTGAGGGTGATCCTGTTAACCCACTGTGCCAGTGCAGAGACTGAGGCAGATGATTACATGGCCAGGGAGTGAAGGAGTAGAGATGGAGTGTATGCCTTTGATTCCCAACCCCTTGCTTTCTCTAGGCAGTTGGAAAAGGGATAGGAATCTTGCTCACAGGAAGCTCCCAGTCTGATAGGAGATGATACAGACATCCAAATCCGAGTGACAAATGCTCACCTAGATCCCATTACATTTCTTTTTTTTTTTTTTTTTTTTT